TTTTCTTCACATTCTCACCAACACATGGTATTGGTCTTCTTGATATAAGCCATTCTCACAGGTATGAGATGGCATATCATTGTGGTTTTGATTTGCAATCTCCCCGATGATAAGTGATGATGAGCATTTTTTCCTGTGCCTTTTAACCATCTGTATGTCTTCTTTGGAAGTGCCTATTTAGCTTTTCTGTCCTTTTTTTTTTTTAATTGGGTTATTTGTTTTCTTTTTAAGTTGTATGAGTTCTTTGTAGATCTTGACTATCAGCCTCTTGTCAGATGTATGGTGTGCAGATATTTTCTCACATTCAGTATAATGTATTTGCTTTTTTGTAGAAGTTCATTAGTTTGATGTAGTTCTAATTGTTTATATTCTTTTTCTCCCCCTTGCTGTTGGAGAGGAACTCACAAAGAATTCTCTGAAGCCCATGTTATGTGTTTTGACTATGTTCTCTTTTATGCATTTTATGGTTATAGGTCTTACATCCATGTCTTTTATCCATTTTGAATTAATTTTTCTCTAACATGTGAGATATTGGTCTAGTTACAGCCTTTTACCAGTGGCTGTCAAGTTTTTTTAATACAATTTTTTTTAAATTTTTTTTATTTTTTAAAGATTTATTTATTTATACAAGCACTGGGTATAGTTAGAAGTGCGGGAGGGTGAGAGAATTCACCAGAGCCAGAGCAGAGAGCAGAACAGGCAGATTGACGAAGTACACTGCTGAGGGGAACAGTGGGTGGCAGGAGAGGTCTGCGTGCCATGTGGGACCCTCGCCTGGTGGCTGGGGATGGAACTGGTGCTGCAGAAGCTGTGGGCAGCTTCGCAACCCAGCACTCAACCGCTGCGCCACCGGGGAGGCCCAATTCTTAATACCATTTTTTGAAGAAACTTTCCTTTTTCCACTGTATGTTTTGACTCATGGGATTTTTTTTTTAAAGATTTATTTATACAATCACTGGGTACAGTCAGAAGTGCGGGAGGGTGAGAGAATTCACCAGAGCCAGGGCAGGGAGCAGAGCGGGCAGAAGGACCGAGGTACACTGCTGAGGGGAGCAGCGGGCGGCAGGAGAGGTCTGCGCGCCATGTGGGACCCTCCTCCGGTGGCCGGGGAGCAGCCGAGGATCGAACGGGCGCTGCACAGAGGCTGCAGGCAGCTTCGTAACCCAGCGCTCAACCGCTGCGCCACCGGGAAGGCCCTTGACTCATGGGATTTTGGAAGGAAGAGGAGTTGTACATGTGTGTCCACTCTTAAAAAATATCGCTCTTCCTTTCGCAAAAGTTCTTTTGGCTTCCTTTTGGAGATTTTTTCATTCTCTGACACCTATTCAATATGGCCTACTTGGGTCTTCTAATAACATTACTTCACTCCTCTGATGACAGTGATTAATTAAGAGTGGATACCTGACACATCAAGGTCAGTAATGTTAACACTGGGAGGAAGAATGTCTCTTCTGAAGCTGCTAAATTGGAGCTGCCAGTGTCATGTGTCCTACCAGGGAGAGGAAGCCTGTCTGCTATATAAAACAATGTGACCAACGGAGAGAATCAGAGAAAAAACAAATAAAAAGCTAGGAGTTATGAGAGATTGTCTCACTTGTACATACATAATAACTTTAACCTAACCTCAGTCCAGCTCACCACTTGTGTTTTCCAGTTAATGATCAAGTGATATACCACTGTCTTTTTTTCCTATTCATTAGATTATTTTCAGTGGATTTCCATCCACAAAAAATTATAACACTCTTGTTAACTTTCCCAAAATTTAAGTTTCCTTTTAGATTTCACTAATTCCTGAAAGCCCTCATAAGCCATTAATTTACAGGTCTTCTATGCATTCCTAAAATATCTTAACAGTTTTGACCCGATATTGATTGCAAACATTCATTTATTCATCTCTCTCCTCATTAGATACTTCAAATGAAGTCAGACAGATAAGAATAGTTAACATCAAGAATTGTTACTTGTCATTGTGTATCACTGGGATTTAGTACAAGGCCTAGAACATAATAAGAACTGGATAATACATGTTGAGTAAATGAGCACATAACTTTTTATCATCTTGTACTTGTAAAATTCTGGCATTGTAGACCTGGCAAGAACCATGACTTAAGATATCTGCTATGTCTCTTCATCATTGCCAGTATCCACTAATGTTCTTAGTGTGTGATTATGAAATATTTTCTGTAGTTTTTACATAACAAAAGCAAAGAAACAGCAGTTTTCGGGTTTCTGAGTGGCACCTTAGGCAAAGGAAAATACATATCTTCTAAAGAAATTCTGGTCCTCGGGGCCCCCTTGGTGGCGCAAGGAGTTAAGGCACAGCGCTATGAAGCTATCTGCAGCCACTGCAGCATAAGTTCAATCCCCAGCCAGGGAGCTACCCACATGGAGCAGCAGACCTCTCTTGTCTCGCCTACTGAGCCCCTCAGCAGTGTATTTCAGTCAGTCTGCCTGTTCTATTCCCCACTCTGTATCTGGTGAATCCTCTCATCCCCCCACACCTCTGGCCTGTACCCCAGTTCTTGCATGCATATATAAATAAATCTTTGAAAAAAAAAAAAGAAATTTTGATCCTCTTGCAATTCTATATGAAAGTGTCTGTGTCCAAACTGCATTGTTAAAAGAATAGATTTGGAGCACTCTCACTTGGGTGATGAAAGGCGGTCCTCATATCCTTAAATAAAGCGAGTAATCTTACATCTAGTCAGATGGCTACAAATGCATTTTATGTTCCACTCTATCATTCTTCTAATTCACGGTTTACTGCTTTTTTTAACATAAATGATCTACGAACCACTGAATGAACTAATAAGTAAACGTATTAGAAATAGTTCTGTATTAAAAAAACTCACATCAATCATAATTATTTACTGAAAATAAGCCTCTATGATCAAGCATAAAGAAAATTTCTTGAAAGAGATGAGTAAAATAATTAGAAACAATTGCTAATGTCAAAAATGAATTTTCCATTTCCTTTAAAACCCAAGAAAAGGGTATAATTTATTTATGTTCTCCATTAATAATTAAAGCTACCATTTAACAAATTTTCTTAGAGGGTATGTATGTGTTATGTTCTATTACTGTATCCAAATTAAGAAAGAAACAAAATTTCATTAGCATTATTTAACCTGACTGCTTGCCTGAGAGTGAGATTTTGAGCATTTGTGCAGTTGTTGTGGGGCGCCTGTTTAAGGACAGAGTGCTAAGGTCAGCATGAATAATCGCATTAGTGGAGCAAGTCCCTATCTCCTCCAGGAAATTCTATTAATAAAAGAACAGATATTTGGACCAAGGGTTATTAGATACTTCCAAATGCCATAAAATATTGTAGTATAATACCTGCTTTGGTCAATCCTTTAAAATTTCATGGGTTGGTCTAATTCTTGGGGACCCAATATCTTTTCCTTAAGGGTTTTTTTCATAGTTGGGGTCAGCTCCAGGGAAAATACAAAAGACAATGGAAAATAAAAAGGCCAATCCCTGTCTACTTTCTCCTTCAATCATTCCACAAGCATAAATGTCACCTAAATTTTATATCTCACAAAAGAGAAGAAAGGCACAATTGTGCAATTAACGAAGGAAAAGGGAATCCTTTATGATTTTTTCTCTTGATGATTCTAAATATCTGCTCATGCTGCTATTGAAACCACTTTCATTTCCCAAAGTTTTACTGAAGACATGAGATAGGGTTCTACTCCAAATTGATTATTATTGCAACACCGTCACACTGTATGATATAATTCTGAAATGGAAACATTTTCAGGGAAACTGTTAAGGGACACCTAATTTAAGCTACAGTATAAGGCAATTACAAAGGGGAAATTAAAAGGAGAGTCAAAAATAAAAAAGGGTTACTTGTTTTCCTTCAAATCACTTTTAAAAGGCTGGCATTAGAATAATTACCAAATGGGAGATGAGTAATGATGACCGAGATGTTTATGAAGAAAGCAATTTATATACTCCAGAATAATAACACTCTGGAAGACAGAAGAGTTGACCATTCTATCTGTTCTTACTATTAAGAAAATTCTAAAGATAAAGAAAATATCCCTTATTCACTGTTTATTTCTGACCACAGCCACACCTATTCCTGATACTTCTAAGTATAGTCTTCTAAAATAATTAAGAGCCTAAAGAACACTTTTTATGGAATCTTTAGCCTCCATAAGATGTTCTTTTACTCAGGATTCATATCTAGTAATTACAACTAGATGATTAGACGTGAGGCTATTCATAGGTGTCTTTGGGTTGGTCATTTATTGAAGAATTAATATTACAAGTGCTGTCACTGAGAATATTATAAGCACTCCTGTACATTTTACTGAGTGACTACTATATCCTGTATTGCTGTATATGTTGTGGGAGAAAACCAGCACATGATCCTTGCCTTCAAGGACATTACTTTTGGATTGTATTAATAATATCAATCCACAGGAAACAAATAGAAAACCATATAATACAGTTCCTACATGTGTGCTTATTGGTGGGGTAAGGTAGCTAATATTCAGCCGAAAGAAATCAAGTGGAATAAAATAATAGAATATGATTAAAGAGTTTGCCTAAAACCTTCTTATATATGCAATACAATTAAGGAAGGTTTGCTTCACTGAGGAAGTGGGAATTGAATTAGACTTTAAACAATGAGTAGACTGGAAATGTGAAATTTGAACAGATTTAACTGAATTAATTTAATTCATCTCACTATTTCTGATTTTATTTATATGAAGACATACATACCCTATCCAATTGAGCTTTGTCAAATAATCCATAAATACATAAAGTATATGTGATTAACAATGCTTTTAATGCCAAGAGACAGCTTATTTTCTTAGTCCAAAGCTCACTTTATGTAATTATTCTTTTTGCAAACTAGTAGTTGGTTATATTAACACTTGACTAATCTTGACAAGAAGTTGCTTTAAGCAGCTAAAGATCCAGATGCTGATCAGCATGCATTAAGTGATTCAGCTTAATTGGTTCCATCTAGATAAATTACTTACCTCAGTTCCTATCACAATTTCTTCCCTGGAAGAATAGAACAGGAACTCATATAGCTTGTAGTGTTGAAATAAACTGAAATACAAAATAAATATGCAACTTAGATAAATTCACTTCAGGGGAAAAAAGGAACTATGTAAAAGTATTTATAAAAGGAAAGTCATTTATGTTGACCAAGCTAAAGACATTAAATATTAACAACAGAGTTAGTCACCTCCTTTATTAAAAACTAAATTGTCCAGGAAGTGGTACAAAATTAAAGTCTTAGTTTTTGAGATCTTGACAATGTAATACAGTACCTAAAACAATATCTGTAAATTAATCTGCAATAAGTGGGTAGTTTTGGGATAAGGGAACAATCAGATTATATTTTGAATTTTCTTGTTTTTAGACTAAATAATACACTGCCCCCAAATAACACTAAACTTCACATTATTTTTCATGTTTTGCTCCAAATTGAAGTCAATTTCCTCTGGCATGAATGGCATTGAGTTATGTAACCTACTTCCATAGCAATTACTTCTCACATTCTCAAACTGTTTCAAGATTAAATTAATCTGATAACACCTGAAAAATGATGCAACATGAACTGAAATCCATTAGAAGATGCTTGATTTCCTTGTAGAATATTCAATCACACATCAAAGGGAAATGAGTTTAAGAAGGCTACTTTCTTTAGTTTCTACCCTAAAAGCTAAATGGTCAGTGTATAAAAACTATAAAGAGACAGAGGATACGTTTCTTAAAACAAATGTTTCTTGTCAGTTTGAAAATCAGCAATGTATTATTGAGAGCTTAAAATTTACCGAAGGGCTGACTTCTAATATCCTGTTTGTGATAATATTTGAATTTTTCTAATTCTCTTCCTGCTGGTTGGAAAATTAATAGACTCATAATACAGCAAAATGCCTAAGAACAAAAAATTGTCTTAGTGGTTTCTCTTTCACTCTGGTGATTTTTGCTATTTAAGAAAATTGATTTTAATATAACTGAGAAATTAACATTTGCAAAATGTAGCTACAGAGCATGTATAATAATGGCTTCTCCTGAACGCTGTAATGGATCAAAGTTTCAATTCATTTGAAATCAATGAAGAAATCCTCAGGCAGCTGGGTCTCTCTGAGTTATATTAGCAGTTGATCTCACTCCTAACACAATTCATTAAAACGTGATGGCTGTGCAGACTCAGTCATGGTATTTATTTCTGGAAAAAAAACCCTTGTACATTCAAATTAGTCATCAACATTCAGAAAACTAGCTTAACTTTTGACATTATTTTGATTTGTTGGCTGGAAAATACATCAAGATTAGTGAAGTCTGATGATTCAATGAAGTAAAATAAATTCAGACTCTCCCTCCCTTAATACTGGTTACCTAGAGAAAGCTTTAAGGTTAAAAATATTACACTGGCAATAACTGATGTGAGTGGAGACATTAAAGACTGTATTTTGGAAATAGCTTGACTTTCCCTCGGTGAAGGAGTGTAAAATTTTCCTTTCTCCATCTTCATCACACAAAGAAGTTAATTCATAAAACTTCCTTCCTGAAATTTCATACTTTTTCAGCTTTATTCTCTTCATTGTATCCAGGAGTGAGAGTATCCCATGGCAGATGGTAAATGCACTTTCTTACAATGAAAATAATGCATAATTTGGCTGTAATGGTCAGAAATGCAAGACTGGGGCAAGGTCAGGACTAGAGTGAAGCAGACCTGGGGAGGGAGGTGTCTAACAAGGCACTTACTCAGAGGCAGGACAAGTCAACCCCACTGCTTCACTCTGGCCCCCATCTTGGTTGGGGTTTCTAATTTTACTAGGGAACTATGAAATGACCTCTCATGGGAGCAAAGTGACGTTAGCTATAGGAATACATTTTCCTCTCTTTTTATTTAGCCTTCTGGCTGACTAAAGCTCCTAGACTATTTTGTCAAACATTGTTTTTTAGTTCTAAATCAAAGGGTGAATACTAAGAATGGAAATGAATTTAGACATCTGGCCTCATGTCAAACAGTGTGATATTCTGTTGTGTATAGGGCATGTTATTTTTCTTACATCAAGTATTTATTTGTCTGTGTATGCTGCATTCCCAGGAGATAGGTAGGAACTTCTGCTAATGACAGAAGAATATTTGGACCAGATATATATCTAAATGATGTCATAATAAAAAGCTGCAGTAGTATTTATATTTGCATACAGTATACCACACATACACATGTATATTATTACACCAGTAGATTAGTCAGTGCTTAACAGTAGTTTGAGGGGGACTCATGACAATATATAATTTAGACTATATTAAGAGTATCAAATGAAATTTCAATTTTATTGTCAGTTAAATTTCATGTGCTATGGGTCATGTTCTAAAAAGTGTTCTCTCTAAATTGACTAGAGCTTTCACCGGTTGAGTAAACTTAATATCAGTTAAATTGAAACAGTCTTATACTTTTGATAATTGAGTTAGCTTCATATTTATAAAACTTCTTTGTAGTCATTAAAATGAAAAGTATTATATGATTTAATTGCCATTAAACTTACATTTGTGGACCTATGAGGCATTTTGAACAGGTGTTGCAGAAAAGCACATTTTCCTTTATACAATTTCAGTATCAGTTCCAGATATCCCACTAACTGATATTTTCTGTAACCAGGACATTTAAATATGCATAATTTCTTTAAAATCACAATATGACGATTGAACAGTATCAGAAATAGTTCTGATTTACTTTATTTGACTTGTCTCTCAAGTAAGAGGGGTGATAGAGAAAAGTCATATTAAGGATCATTGGTATGTGAAGTTACAGTGGTTAGGAGCTGAAGGTAACTAACACTGACATTTCCTCCTCACTTAACCATTTTCTGAAATGAAAGGTCAAAAAATAAATTGATGGGACCTCCCCGGTGGTGCACCGGTTGAGCCGCTGGGTTGCGAAGCTGCCCGCAGCCTCTGCAGCGACAGTTTGATCCCCGGCCACTGGGTGAGGGTCCCACATGGCACGCAGACCTCTCCTGCTGCCCACTGCTCCCCTCAGCAGTGTACTTCTGTCCTTCTTCTGCCTGCTCAGCTCCCTGCTCTGGCTCTGGTGAATTCTCTCACCCTCCCGTGCTTCTGACTGTACCCAGTGCTTGTACAAATAAATCTTTAAAAAATAAATACATAAATTGATGAACATTTGTCCAGAGAGATGGGATGAAAAAGAAGGGGCACCACATTTATTTTACCATCCAAAAGGTGCCATTGATGTGCCTGCTGAATTTTACTGCTATGGTTAACTATCACTCCTCGTGCCTGTTATAAACTTTGTGGATTTAGAGCTCAGCTGTAAAAAAATGTTTTCTACAAGAAAGATGTGGTAGGTTCAAATCTAGAGAAAAGGGGAAGAAGGATGTCATATATTGGAAATGTACAGAGAATTCCCCTCCTCCACTGATTCCCAAATCTGATGGGCAGAAAGACCCTGGGGAACAGGTTCTCATCCAACTCTGCATCTTCACTCCGCCCAGCTCCCTACACAAGGCCCTTGCCTTATTCTAATCAATATGAAGACCTCTGTGGCTTTTAATGAGAGACACACATTAGGGGGTATGTTTTTATATTAAGAAATCATATTATATCAAATGCTATTATATAAAAACATAATATATCACATGCCATTACTAATTCATGCCAGAAACCAGTATATAAACTTTTTCATCTTAAACACATTAATATTTAAAAAGCCCCCAGACTATATAACCAGGATCTTTGGCAAGCAAATCGTGAGCATGCCTCGGACATCATGTAGCACCCTTTATTTGGGAATTTTAAAGTTTAAAGTTGGAAAACACTGCAGTATATACTATTAAAAGAACAAAGATATTCTGCAAAAACTTTTAGTTAAGGAAAAGAAAGAATTTTACCAACTCTTGTTTAAATATTTGCAAACTCTAAAAATGTCCCTTGGGAGAAACGTATGATTCTAATGCAAACCATGTGACAGATTACATAAAAAGACAGATTTCTTAGTTCACCAATGAAGAGTCACTGTAAAAAAATACTTTCCCTCCATCTACCACCATTTTGTAAGCAGAACAAAAGCCCTAATGAGTTTAATTGGTCAATACTGTGAAATATTTCAGGGCATATAATAAATTTGATGATGTATATTCATAAATCTCTTCAATTTCTAGCACAAAGCATTTAAAATAATTTTTTTTGATGGAAATGAATAATGCTCTTTAAAATTTTTATGTCAAGGTCAACTACTTAAAATACCATCTATTGTAATCAAATCTGATTAATCTGAAAGATAATTTTATTAAAAAAATGGTACTAATTAGAGATGCAGAGAAAAAAGAAATTCTTAGATAATTATAATTCTAGATGAAATTATATTTATCAAACACAAACCACCTCTTAAGAATGCAAAGTTAGTCAAAATATTCAATGTCCTGACGTTTAATTACTAGACATAAGATTTGAATATAACCTAATTATTGTGGGGCAAATTATTGCATAAATTATGTAAGCAACTAAATTTGCTAAAATTGAATTAGTTTCTATTTAGTAGACATTTTCTAGAATATAGAAATTAAAAAAGAAATGCTATTGAAAAAAATCCATACCTGATTTTTATGTAGTCAATGATAGCATTAGCTTGTTTTACATCAAAAATATTACATTTCTCATTATCTGGTGAATGGGATGGTCCTATTTGAGCCATCACTTCTCCAAGCCATTTTATGCTATCTTCTAAGGACATATGCAGTGCTGAAATAAAATCCAGAAAATTCTCAGTATAATTTTAACAGATGTTTTGGGAATAAAATAATTCATGATGTCCTTGATGTGCAAAAATTACTTTTGCAGTATTTGTGAGGACAAATATTGTTGCTTCTTTGTGATAAATTAATAAGTACATTGCACATAAAAGAATAACAGCTGACACAGTCAATAACTGTAAATTATTTTAATGTTACACAATTATCTAAGAGTTTATATCCATTTTAAGATTAAAAAATCAAAATCTATCTAGATTAATTTAAATAGAAAAGAGATATTTTTTATGATCTTAGAATAAAGCACATAGGGAAATGACACCAAAGTTGGTTGGATTATCTGGATAGGAAGGTCTATATGATAGATTCAATCATCTTGACAGTGAAGCTGAACTCAGAGCTGAAAATGTAAACGAACAGAGTCAACCAACACTTGGCTTTAGCTGATTGTTGCCATGTGTGAACTTGATTCTGAAAATTTTCAATAGAAGCCAGAAATATGGATTTTTATGTAAAACATCAAGATTTTTTTTTCTTTTCCAAGCTACAGACTTATAACTCATGTAAGCTGTTCCTCAAATGTTTGCATGGTGGTGGTGGTGAGAGCCAGATGACAGTGCAAAAACAGTGAAACTGACATCACTTTGCCACCATTACCAAAAATAAACAAGCAATGATTTTACACCATTCTCTTACAACTAAAAACAAACGATGAAGCAAAACGATCTTCAATGGCACATGTCCAGTTTAAAAAAAAATGTAGATAAATGTCAAAAGCCTTAGACTTAACTTTCATTGTTTCTGTGATACAAATATTAACTTCCATCTCTTTTCCCTCTCTGGTTATATTATTTTTACTTGTGGTAGACGACATATTACAGACACACATCACTTCCTGCACACCTAGGGTGAATCCAGGTAACTAATGCCCTGTACTTGCTTAAGAGTGATGAGTATGTGGCCCCTGGAGGTGAGAGTTCAAAGTTTCCAGAGAAAAGGAGGCACAACCAGCTTGTGGAAGGTGAATCCAGTTGGGGGCCTAGCTGAGGGTTCTGGGGAGAATGGTGCTGCTTCTTGTGAACCCCATTCTCCCAATCCTCACCAAACCTCTATTTCTCTTGGGAAACTGTCAGTAAGTTTTCCACTTCTCACTATGGAGGAATTTTTTTCAGGGAAATTCTAGGGGAGAAAGAAAAGGGGCCTTGAGAACACAGGCTGATTGCTGGACCAGCCATTTCCAGCTTCAGTGGCTATACTTTCTCTCTGTGACTTAAGGTCTGTGCCCCCAGATTACTAATGAAATGACAGTAAAGTCATATAAAATTTTAGGAAGATACTATAATAAAGACTATTATAATCTTGTAATGTGTTTACTTTTCTATTTGTAAGCACTAGAAAGGATGGAAACTATGCAGCAATTAAAATAAGATTTAATGAACAACAATTGGCCTATTTTTCATAGCCTCCTTCCAGATCATCTTTTATGTAGTATGTAAGATAGATGAACTATTGCTGGATAACTAGGCTTTCCGATACCACCCTAAGTGAAGCTCAATTATTATTGTACATTTCCTTTTCCATGATAAACTTCTTTTGAAAACAGTGGGAGTAATTTTAGAAATAAAAAGTCTGTTGGATAAAAGCAATTCAGAATTGAATGGATTAAAAATCTGAATCATTTTATTAATAAGATGATATTAATTAGAGTTACAGAAGAAAAAGAAATTCTTAGATAATTGATTATAATTCTAGATGTAATTATACTTATGAAGCACAAAAATACATTTATATGACTATTTCTTATGTTGAAATATAACTGACTCTAAAACTCTTTTTCTATGTCTAATGTATTTCTATAGATAATGGCTTTAAAAATTAGGAAAGTTATCATTTCACTTATCTAACTGAAATATTTGCTTTTTTAGAAATCATTTAGTGATATGATTAAAATTGGAAAGATTAAACCATTTAAATAATAAGGGCTGTTAGAAATAAAATTTATTCTTGAAAATTTACAGTAATAAAAGAACACACTAAACTTATAATTAGTGGGAAGAGTTAGGATAGTAACTCATAACTGCCACTTTTAAGGTAGGTGATCTGCGTTTCATTTTCCTTATCTGTAAAGGAGAATAATATCAATTTTGAATATCATAGCACTGTTGTTAGTATCAAGTAAGAAATGGATGTGAAACTCTTGGTAGACTGAAATGATACATATGTTAGTAATTAATATGTATAGCGTGTTTTCTAGAATTCAGTCTGACATCAGGTATATTGGATGTAATAGTTAGGTCTTGGGCTCTCATTTGCTGGGGCTGATCCTTATTTTCGACGCTTAAAGAGTTATTTAACCTCTCTAAATTTCACTTATTTTTTTTCTGATTATTTAATATGGGGAGAACAATAGAACCATCACAAACCATGTGAGGATTAAGTGAAATAGTATTTGGGTAGCAAAGGACACTGACTAGCACAAGTTACTCTGCTGTAAATGTTACCTATTATTATAATAATTCCTGTTTGGGGGAAAAACAAATCACCCTCACAGAACTAAAAAATATTCTATTGTCATTTACTAACATTCACGTTATGTATAGTGTAATCACTCCAGGCGTATGGATCTGCATAGGAGCCAAATCTCCAGCCCACCTACTACACTATGGCAGGTCCTTGGTCAAGCCTTGGAAAAACTTGACCACCAAATAAATACTGTTAAGATAACTATTCAAATTCTATGTTCTACACTGATGTCTTATTTGGTTCCCCTATATTCCTCCTATAAGTGAAACCATCCGATATTTTTCTTTTTCCTTCTGACTTATTTCACTGAGCATAATTCCTTCTAGCTCCATCCATGTTGCTGCAAATGGCATGAGTTTATCTTGGGGTGAGGGGAGCAAATATTGTTTAAAAATAAATAATGATGTAAAATATATATATATACAACAATTCTATGTTCTATAATCTTTTAGTTTGATCCAATTTGTTCCAGGTGGGGTGATTGCAGAATGCCTTGTATTGTAGATAACTGCAGTACAAATTTGAGACAAGAAACAGATGAGAAACTGAGTCAGTATAAAATGGAGTTCCCATCTAGAACTTTATAATGGTCAACTGCACTACAGCTAACAGTTCAGACAGTGTACTTAAGTGCCTTTTTCTATTAAGATATTGCTGAATGGGAGTTCTCAGTATTACAGTGTGCTCAGGACTCCACCAGCCCTCAGTTTAAATATAAACACACTTTGCCTCCTTCCTTGGCACAGTTGGCTAAGACTACATTCTTTCCTGATGATAACTAGAACCTTATTATGTTTAAAGGTTTAAGGGGATTTTTCTTTCTGCAAGAAGGAAAGACTTGCTTTTTTTTCTGGTTAAGTTTTACATATGTACTTTTACTCTCTCATGGTTTACAAGTAGTTGAATGGATTCACATCAAGTTTTAAAAATTCATTTTTGAATTATGTCAACAATATAAAGTTTCATGTAAAAGAAATTTTCTTGAGTCAGTTGTTAGTGATGGAAGATGTTTAAAGTAGAAATATTGTCAAATTTGGATGTGAGATTCATGAAAAATTTTACTTTTCTTTATGCTCTTTCTAGTTTGTGAATACTTAGTTCACAGTTTGCAAAGCTTAGTAAAAAGGGAAGAAGCTTTTAACAATTTTTGCATAGATCATATATTCACATGGTTCAAAAATACACAGGAAGATATATTCCAGAAAGACCTTCTCCAACCCTTTTGCCCAAATGTCTACGACCCCACAGAAAAGTTTGATGGTTAGTTTTTTTCCTGTATTATTCCATCATTTCTTTGTATGATAGCATATAAAACATACATAGCTTTTTGATTTTTGGTTCTCTTATAAAGAAAAGCATACAATTATGCATCAAAATCTCACTAAAAAAAGTGGTACACAGTTTCCCATCCAATGTCTATAATGTTTCCTCAATTTTTCCCTTTCTACAGTTGAATAGTATTCCATTTTGGGGATAAGTTCCTTCCAAAGGATGTCACTATGTGCAATCCACCCTTAAGGGGTAAGGATATGTACTTCAATTTCATGGGGGTGAAGCATCTACACAAACTTTTGGGAGACTTGCCTATTTATTCAATCATTGATTCATCTATCAGTAAGGCTATTAATTTTTTTTTTTGGCTTATAATCCAAAATTTGTTAAAATTGTTCCGACCATGGACATTGGGGATCTTTTTTAGCTGGCTTCTGTATCCCTCTGATATAACCACCATCATGTTGATTTTTTTTTTAAGATTTATTTATACAAGAACTGGGGTACAGGTCAGAAGCACGGGAGGGTGAGAGAATTCACCAGAGCTACAGCGGGGAGCAGAACAGGCAGACGGACCAAAGACACTGCTGAGGGGAGCAGCGGGCGAGGCAGGAGAGGTCTGCTGCGCTCTGTGGGGTTCTCCCTGGCCAGCGGGGAATCAAACCAGCAGAGGCTGTGGACAGCTTCGCAGCGGGGTGTTCAAACACTGCGCCACTGGGAGGCCCCATCATGTTGATTTTTAAGCATTTAATTTTGCCACTATACAAAATGCCCCATGCTCATTTTCCATGTCCCCTGTTCCAGAGCTACAATCAGACATTTCCCTACAGAGCTCTGGTTCTTTCTATTACAGAAAAAATTATAAACCAGGACTTGGGTATTGGGCATGCCCATTGCTTCAGTATGTCATTACCTCTAGGTCTTCCAAGTGGAGATAGCTAAGTACATGAGTGTCTATGTGTATAATACACAAATATAAAATACAAATATAACTAAGCCAATTAGCTAATTACCCATCTGTATCTATATTAAACTAAACATGAGTTCACACTTATGTCTCCATCTGACATTCCTAATCTCTTGTTTTATAAACATGACTGCAAGTCAAGTTTATGCATGCAAGTGGATAGCTAAGATAAGTTACCAAAAGTGGAATTACTGGGGGAAAGGGACCACATATTTGCATATTTCACAGAT